GTACAGAATTCTCGGTTGAAATTGCTTTTCCCTTAATACTTTGAATATATTTTCCCATTCTTTCCTTGCTCACATTGTTTCCGATGAGAGATCTGCCATTAGTCTGATGGGTTACCCTTTGTAGGTAACTTGCCATTTTTCTCTTGCCAGTCTTAGTATCTTGTCTTTGTCTGTGGTTTTGGTCAATCTGGCTATAATGTGTCTTGGAGAAGACTTCTAGGGATGATTCTATTTAGGGTCCCCTGTACTTCTTGGGACTGAATCTTTGAGTGCCTCTCCAGGTTTGGAAAGTTTTCTTGCAGGATGTCATGGAATAGATTATCAATGCCCTTATGAGTTTCTTTGCCTTCTGGGATGCCTATTATCCGGATGTTTGGACATTTAATTGTATCTAGTATTTCTTGTATATTATTCTCAAATTTCTGGGCCATTTTCTCAGTCTTCGTGGTGGATTTTTCTAGGCCAGCAATTTTCTCTTCTACATTTGAGATTCTATTTTCTATATGATCTAGTCTGCTTTTAATACTTTCAAGGGAAATTTTGACTTCTTGTATTATAGCCTTCATCTCTAACAGTTCCATCTGATTCTTTTGTCAAGTGTGAAATTCCTCTTTTAGATCTAGCATGAATTTCCTCACCTCCTGGAACTCTTCAACTCCTTTCTCCTTCCTCTTCAGCAGTTCATTATCTCTCTTCTCTTCCATCTCTGTAAGTTTTGCCATTATGAATGTTCTGAATTCTTTATCAGACATTTCCATGATTTTCATTGAACTGTGTGGGGATGAAGAGGAGTTATCCTTTTCCCTTGGAGGAGAGGTATTTTCCTGCTTCCCCATATTTCTTGTGGTCCTACAGTGATTTCTAGTCTTCTCATGGATAGTCGGTTTCTTCCCAACCTTGGAAGTTCAGTCGCATGAGTTTTGTATGCTGGAGGCCGGATTATCGGTGGCACCTCTTTATTGCTCCATTTCCCCCAAAATGGCTAGATCGCAGGAGCCATGGAGCTATCCCTTGCAGAAGGCCTGTTCTGCTTTTAATATTTTTGAGGGAAGTTTTGATTTCCTGAATGGCAGCCTTCATCTCTAACAGTTCCATTTGATTCTTTTTAATGTGTGTCTTTCCTCATTCAGATCATACAAGAACTTCCTCACCCTCTGGAATGCATTGGCTCTTTTCTTCTGCATCTTCTGGAGTTCATTGTCTCTCAGCTTTTACATCTCATTTAGTTTTGTCACTATGAATTTTCTCAATTCTGTATCAGACATTTCCATGAGTTCCACTGTACTGTCTGGATGATGAAGGATTGTTCTTTTCACTTAGGGGAGAGATATTTCCTTGGTTTCTCATATTTATTGTCTCTCTGTGGTGGTTTCTGGTCATGGTGTGACATAAATCTCTCTTCTACTGTGTTTTGCAACATGGTATCCACAGAAAAAGATTATGAGTTCAGATCTATAAAAAGAAGTTTCTTCCTTAAAGCAGGAGTTTCAATAAATGTTGAGGATTTCAATGACCCTAAAAGTATTCCAGTGCTTGGCTACTGTGCATCTTGGCCTGTGTAGACCTTCAATGTGTGGAGACTAAAGAGCAGAGTGGTAAAGTAAGGTTAGAAAAGAAATAAAAGTAAAAGGAAAATAAAGAAAAGAAAAAACTAGACAAAAACAACCAAAAAAGAGAAAAAAATTTAAGGTAAAAAATAAAAACTGCACATCACATCACACTAACACACTAGGACACACCTCAGATTTCAAATAGTTTCTGAAATTAGAAAGAGAAAGGAAAGGCCCGAGGTGAGAAGAATTGGTTTAAAATTATAAAAATAAAAAATTTAAAGAGAGAGAGACAGACAGACAGAGACAGAGAGAGAACAGAGGTCACCCTACCTTGTCTGAGTGTTTTGGGGGTCTAGAAGATGAAGTTTAGAGCATAGTTTTAGTCGCCTTGGTCTCTGAACACTCCAGGACACACCTCAGATTTAAAATGGCTTCTTGTCTGAGTGTTTCAGTGGTCTAGAAGATGAGGTTTAAAGATAGCTTTAGTCGCCTCAATTCCTCTAGAACTTTTTTTCAACAGAGAACTTGCCTTTGACCCTCATTCTACCCTCAACCACCCACTCCCCCCTTTCAATCTCTGGTACCTACACTTATCCTCTCTACTATCACATCTTCAGATCTTTTCATTTCTGCCATAGAGTGCAGACATCCAGTACAAATAGAGTGAGCATATACAGTGTGTATCTTTCAAAGTCTGACTCACTTGCCTCAACACTAAGTCTTCTGCAGTCATCCATTTTGAATCAAGCAATAGGATCTCATCATTTCTTATAGCTGAATAATATTCCAGAGTATATATATACGACAGTTTTTCAGTCCAGTCATCAGTTTTTGGACACTTAGGTTCATTCCATGTTTTAGCATAAACATAAACATGATTGTGCAAGTGTCTTTCCAACTAGTGTTTTCCTATCCTTTAGGTAAGCATAGGAGGGGGATTATTCAGGCATTTAGTATTCCATCTGTAGGTTTGTGAGGAACCTCCATATTATTTTCCACAGAGGTTATACTAATTTACCTTCCCACCAGCAATGTAAGAGTGTTTCCTTTTCACCTCATTTCTGCCTGCACTTGTTCTTTATTTTATTTTTTAAATCCTAGCCATCCTAACTGGAGTTAAATGGTAACTCATTGTGGTTTGTTTGTTTCTTTGTTTATCTTGTGTTTTTATTTTTCTATGGTTTTTTATTTCAAATTATTCATTTGCATTCATTCACTGTACATCATTACAACATACAAAATGAGATTTTCCATCCAGAGTACACTGTATATTGTCTCAAGCAAGCACATCAACAAACATGTTATTGTCAGCAAATAATTTTCCATTTTTTATTTTCTGTATGTTTTGCTTTTATCCCCCATTCTTGATTCCCTATCTCTTACCCTCTGCCATCTCTCACTCTTCTCCCACACTGTCTCTGGTATCTATGTTTGCTTTCTATACTGTTTCCTCCCACACACACACACATCCTACTGAATTACTAAAGACCTTAATTAATCTAAATATTTTCATAGCAAACACAGGTGATATATACATTTCCATGAACACAAGTCTAACTTTATGCATCCTATAAAGTAGCACCTAGCTTGGGCTATATATCTTACTGCAGTCATTGAATAGATATTTTTTTCCTGAAACTTTTTTTTTGTAACTCATTATTTCCCTAAGCATCATCACAGCATACAAAATGTGATTTCCCATCCAGAATATACTGCATAGTGACTTAATCATGCATACTATAAAAAATTTTCCATTTCTAGTTCCTAGAATTATTTTTACCCCTCTTTCTGACCCTCTGTCCTTTCCCACCCTCTTCTCACACTATCTCTGGTGTCTGTAATTGTCTTCCATCCCTTTCCCATGCACGTTGTATTGATCACACAATTTATTACATAATCTAACTACTTTCAATGGTGAGTTCACTCGTTACTATTAAGAAAACCAGTTTTAACTTAAATCAAAGAAATGCCAAGGAACTTTGCTTAAAGCCAGGAAACAGGTTAGGATTCTGTTCAAATGGTAGGTGCATGAATCTATCAGTCTCATGTACTTTTATCTTCTGTTCTGGTTCAATTTTCCTGATTAAATTCTGAGATATAATATTCAACTCCAGACTTGTCCCTACAATTAAGTTGGCCACTTTCTTAGTTTTTGAACTCTTATTTCTGTGTGTCTGTATTTAATTTTCCTGATATAGCACACCCTTGAGAACTTTTTGGAGATCTGGTCTGGTGCTGGTAAATTCTTTCAGGTTTTGTTTATCTGAGAATGTTCTTGTCTTTTCTTCCCACATGAAAGATAATCTTGCCAGGTACAGTATTCTTGGCTGAAATTGCTTCTCTCTTAACACTTTGAATATTTTTTCCTGGTCTTTCCTCGCTCCCCATGCCATCCTAACAGTTGTTTGCTCACTGCCTTTAGTCTATTTAACATATAATTTGATGATATCAGGATGAGAAACCGCTACCAGGAGGGAACTAACCTCTTTTCCTCTAGATTGTTCTCTCTCTCTCTCTTTCTTTTAAGAGAGAGATTTCTGCTAGAAGGAACTTGCACTTGCTGGAGAGAAAAAGAGACAGTGAGAAATCACCCCGCACGGGGATATGGCCATGCCACAATCCTTTCTCCTCCATTCTCCTCTCAGGATCTTGGGCACGCACACACACACACCCAGCATGAATTTCAAGCCACAAGATCCAGTACTCAAACTATGGTCAACTACATGGGAGTCCAGCGATGTAACCATTATGCCATCCACTGGTCCCTCCTCTAGATGTCTTAATTAAGCATCCCTTCTCGCTGTTTTGTCCTACTTTGGTGAACAGGTTCTGTACTGACATGGAACCTGACAAAAGCTTTCAGGGATTTAACAAAGACTTACTTGTATGTTACTGACTCAAGAGCCTCAGAGTCCTACCTCCACTTTTTAAATGAAGAAATTTTGGCAAGATATGACAGTAAAAGTTTTCTAGCTGAATTATTTCGATATCAAGAGACTTCTATTTTTTTTCCTCATAGGATTAGAAAGATACAGTGAAACTGGATATGTTGCTGAATCAGTTTTCACAATATACTATGATCACTTGGGATATATACATAAACTGACTCCACGTCATTTTGAAGCTGATGGATTATTTGAAAATGATGGAAATCCTAGAAGTATTTTTGGAAAGGTCAGTGATACCACGCATTGAAACAGTATGCCTTGTTTTAAGAATGGATACTGCATCCTATGCACATTTTTTTTTTTTGAGAAGTTTTTGCTATAAGTCGTGCCAGGAAGACAGAGAGAGAAAGAGACAGAAAGCAAGAAATCACCCCGGGGGGATGGCCATGCCACAATCCCTTCTCCTCCATTCTCCTCTCAGGATCTTGGGCATGCACGCACACACGCCCGGTGTGAGTTTAAGCCACTGGGTCCAGGACTCGAACCACAGTCAACTACATAGGGGTCCAGTGATGTAGCCATTATACCGTCTGCTGGTCCCATCTTATGCACATTCTATTCTATAATGGGAAAATGTGGTAGTATTTTCCTTAGGCCAAATTTTTTGTTTGTTTTTTAATCACCTTGGACATGCCTACTTCACCAGATGGATATAGGTCATTCAAAATAGATCTACAGCACAAGGGGTCTTGAAGACAAACTCTTGTTAGTGCATTTTGCTCCATTTAAATAAAGGAAAACCTCCATATACCAAGGAATATCTCCAAATCTTCTTTCAAATTCTATACAGGATAATATTGCTTCAATTCCACCCAGGATATCTTTGTGCAAATATCTTGACAGCAGAACATCACCAGATATTCTAAGATGGACCTTTCCTTTTCATTACTCCCAACACGGGACCAGATGGGGTTAATTCTCTGCCTCCCAAGGTAGCCTCTAAGAAGTATGAGTTATGGTTTACCCTTCTCCTTTAACATCAACCTGCCTCCTAATTCCTCCATTTTCTAAAACCAACAGAAAAAGGAGTTATTATCTTCTTCACAGATGGCAATAAATACAGATTTTCACAATAATTTTAACATTTAATATACTACTTGTGAAAGTATATATGCGTAAGAACTCATCCCTGGGCATACCGGCATTAAACTGAACATTTATCAATGTATCCATAAAGAACTGAGCATTTTTTGATTGGAGCCTAATACATTCTGTCTTTTGGCTTAAAGGAAATAGAATGAAAGACAAATCTAGTTTTAAAAGATCTTTTGGGGGCCAGCAGGTGGCATGGTGGTTAAGCCACTGGACTCCCACATGGCTGACCATGGTTCGAGTCCTGGACCTGGTGGCTTGCTTTCTCACTTTCACTCTCTCTCTCTTTGTGTCTCTACCTGGTGAGTGCACATGCCCTATGCCAAATTTTAAAGTAATAATAATAATTAATAAAATTAAATGACTATTTTTTTAAAAAATTGAATATTTCCAATTACCAGACTAAGACTACAGTAGAGAGGCTGGAGTTTTAGCTTCCCTTGTCCAATCTGTGTAGGGAGAGGGCAACTTCCCTTTGAGAGCAAGCGGTCACCACATCACTGTCTCCTTGAGTATTTGCTCAGTCTGGAGAGAATATGCAAAGTAAATGATGTGAGCAGGAGGACAGAACCAACCAAAGCAGTGACCTCAATTTTTTTTGCGAACTTCACAATTTGTAGAAAGTATCCTAGTTACCTTTTGTGAATGTTTAAATTATTAAAATTAAAAATCAGGGATTTTCATACTCAGGACAAATTCAAGGAACTCATACTCAACCATATCACTCCTCTCTCTACAAGCAGACTATGCATGCATCCTCTCTGAATAAAAATTAATCACTAGCCCTTACTATGTGTCAGGCACTGTGGTGAAGTCCCAGTCTGTATGAATACTGTACCCATTTTACTGTTGAGAAAAGTGAGGCACAAAGAGACTAAATAGTTTGTCCCAAATCACACAACTGGTTGGTTATTGAATCAGGCATCTATCTCAGCCAGCTGATTCCAGGGCCTATGTCTTTAGCCACCCTACTGCTTTTCTTTTCTTTATCTTTCCTTATTTCTTTTTTATAATTTTCTCTTTTATTTTTGCAATAGGGAACTTGAACTCACTGGAGAGAGAGAGAGAGAGAGAGAGTAGGTGAGAAAATACCCCCCTTTGGGGATGGCCACACCACGTTCTCATTTCCATTCTCCTTGGGGAATTTTGAGCATGCACACACACACACACACCCAGCATGTTTTTCAAACCTCTGTGTCTAGGATTTGAACCATGGAGCTGCCCTATAGGATTAGCTATGTGGGATCCAGCACCTTAACCACAACTCCATCTGTTGGCTCAGCCATTCTACTGCTCTTCCCTCTCTGTGAGATACTCTTGCCACTCTCAGGTTAGAATTCATACAGAATTCTAATAATTTTCAGCCTTTGTAGTAATTTTCAAGAGTCTTTAAGCCACTTATTCTGTCCCACATTTATTTTTCTTGCATTTATTTCCGACTCTCGCCTCTTCTCAGCGGGTTCTCTAAAATTTAGATACTAGGGGAAAAAACATAACAGAACATGTTTTTGGAGGCACTAATTGATGGGTAGGTCCCCAACTAGCCTACACTATCCATCACTTTGTCTACCTAGTCCTTGTCTCATAGCAACAAGGTCAACTCCAGGATCCTATTTGGGGTTGGTCTTTTCTTTATCTTTCCTTATTTCTTTTTTATAATTTTCTCTTTTATTTTTGCAATAGGGAACTTGAACTCACTGGAGAGAGAGAGAGAGAGAGAGAGTAGGTGAGAAAATACCCCCCTTTGGGGATGGCCACACCACGTTCTCATTTCCATTCTCCTTGGGGAATTTTGAGCATGCACACACACACACACACCCAGCATGTTTTTCAAACCTCTGTGTCTAGGATTTGAACCATGGAGCTGCCCTATAGGATTAGCTATGTGGGATCCAGCACCTTAACCACAACTCCATCTGTTGGCTCAGCCATTCTACTGCTCTTCCCTCTCTGTGAGATACTCTTGCCACTCTCAGGTTAGAATTCATACAGAATTCTAATAATTTTCAGCCTTTGTAGTAATTTTCAAGAGTCTTTAAGCCACTTATTCTGTCCCACATTTATTTTTCTTGCATTTATTTCCGACTCTCGCCTCTTCTCAGCGGGTTCTCTAAAATTTAGATACTAGGGGAAAAAACATAACAGAACATGTTTTTGGAGGCACTAATTGATGGGTAGGTCCCCAACTAGCCTACACTATCCATCACTTTGTCTACCTAGTCCTTGTCTCATAGCAACAAGGTCAACTCCAGGATCCTATTTGGGGTTGGTCTCCACTTATTTTTTCACCCCCTAAGAGTCTCCAGAATTGGAGAAGATCAAGATTAGAGTAGGATGTGCTGAAAGGCAGGCCTACAAGTCAGGAATCTAGGCCCGAGTCAGCAGGTGGCATGGTTGTGAAACCAGCTGCTTCACACATGGCTGACGTTGCAGCTCAAGTCCAGATTGGACAACACACCAGGTGCATAAGAAGAATGGAGAAGAGACTGTAGCATGGGCGTTTCCCCCCCACAGGGGGTGCTTTCTCTCTCTCCCCTCCCAAGTGAATGCATGCACCCTACAACAAATTTTTTTAAAAAAAGAAGTCTAGGCCAAAGGTACTTGTGTTGACTACAAGGGAACATCTATGAATCAAAAGAAATGAGAAAGGCATGAGTCTCCACTGGTCAGGACACTCAGATGGTGGCTATGCAGTCTGTAGCATGAGACTGAGACCAGCCACTTCCAAGGGAGGAAAGGTATTTCATAGGACCTTTCTAAATAAAACTCCAAATAAGAACCCAGTTCTAGGGACCAGCAGAGGGCGTAATGGTTACATCACTGGACTCTCACCTGGCTGACCGAGATTCAAGTCCCGGACCTGGTGGCTTCAAACTCACACCAGCTGTGTGTGTGCATGCATGCCCAAGATCCCAAGAAGAGAAGGGATTGCTCTGTGGCCATCCACTCTGAGGGATATCTCATTTTCTGTCTCTCTGATGAACACATGCACTCTATAGCAAAAATCTATAAGAAAAAAAAACAAAAAACAGTTCTAAACTCTGCACCTCCAGACTCCTCACCTACACACAGTGGGAGTGAAGTCTCCATTGACCTTTCACTACAGCCATCTACGATCTTCAACTGAATTTTAGTCTCACAATTTTTTTTCTTCCTCAATAGGAAAATGTATTTTCCTTGCACACACATAGATATTCAAACAGAACATGTTGAAATAGTACTCTAATTGGTAATTAAAATAGGATCGTTTTGATATAAACTGGAAATCATTATTTGAATTTGGTCATAATCGAAGTATAAAAATATTGAGTTGTCAGAAAAGTCATGACATATTTTTCTGTTTTTCTCTGCAAAAATGCATCATGACTTTTCCGATGAGCCAATAGTTTAAATACAATATTTTCTCCTTTCTTATTCCAGGTTCCTGACATGGGTTTTGAAACTGCACTTGCTCCACAGCACCTCTCCTTACATGAAATGATCATTTTTGCTTATGTGTCTGAAAATGAACCTGAAAGTACTGCATATACCAAGCAATTCAACCACATGCACCGTGGGAAAGTGTTACACTCCGGGTAGGGAGCGATTTGTGTCATATTTATTTTGCATACTGATTTTTTTTTTGAACCTATGTTTTTGAGTATTTTTTTTTTGGTCAAATAGTGGTAAGCCTTTTTTTCGGACACTCCATAAAGCCAAATGCATTCATAGACTTCAAATTGTCTTGTATGATGCCCCAGGTTTAGCAACATAGTTTCCATTTATATCAGCCCTACCAGGCCAAGCTATAGACATGTGTGTTCCTTATTTGAGGTATAAGATGTGTTCTTAGCAGAACCAGCAGATGTCGTAGTGGTTCCATCACTGGACTCCCATATGGCTGACCATGGTTTAAGTCCTGGACCTGATGGCTTGAAAATCATGCCAGATGTGTGTGCATGCATGCCCAGGATCCCAGGAGAGAATGAAGAAGGGAGTATATGTGGCTATCCCCCTAGGGGGTGATTTCTCACTTTCCGACTTCCTGTCTTTGTCTCTCTCTCTCTCCAGCAAGCCAGAGAGTGCATGTAAAAAATATATATAATGTTATATATATATATATATAAATTATATGTTTTATTAGCTATACTGGATACTGCGTATCCACATTGTTTCCTCATGTGACAATTCTCATACGCCTTAGATCAAACACATCTAATGTAGTAGAGGTCATGTTTCATAAAATAGTGCATGATAAGGCATACAGAATTTTCAGGAATGCTTGCTTCTAAGGTATTAGCAATAACCAGTGACACTGAGAGCTATGTTTTAGTCCTAAAATCTTTAAGAGCTATATGAATTCTATAATCCAAAAGTCTAGCAACGCAAAAGGAACAATTTTAGATTGCTGGAAACTCACTGTTATGGTCTGAATGTTATTGCCCCCCACAAGATTCACATTTCAAAATCCTGACCACCAAGACAAGTGTAGTAGAAGCTGAAGGCATTGCAAGGTGATTAGGTCATGAGGGCTTTGACCTCATGAATGGTATTAGAACCCTTATAAAAGAGGCCCAAGACAGCTAGCAAGGCCTTTTCACCATGTTAGAAGGCACCGTCAATGAACCAGAAGTGGACCTCACAAGAAAACATTTCAGCTGGTACCTTAATCTTGGACTTCCCAACTTCTGGAATGGTAAGAAATACATTTCTGTCACTTATAGGCTATGGTATTTTGTCCTAGCAGCCTAAATAGACTGAAACACTCACCCTGTCCAAAAGTGGTAGACACTATTCTTATACCAGCTTGAAGTTTGTTTATTGTATAGGTTTTGGGCTGTCAATATGTATCTTGTCCCACGATCAATATCATGCACCATGAAGCATTCCAGTCAGAGGTGGCAATAAAGATGGAAATTGAACATAATATAACAAATGATGGCAGATCATAGAATTTTCCATCTCAAGAGAAATATCAGTGCTCCCCAGAATTATTTTTGTCTTATATGACTTTCATATGTGCGACATTCCAGATCACTTAGTTTATATTTGTATAGTGGTTTCCTTGTAGAAAATGTACAGAATCACTTTTTAAAACGTAAGAATATGATTACTGTCACCTCAGTGTTAATATTAACTTCTTACATTTGAATTATTTTTAAAGTACATGATAATTCTTTTAAGGATCAGAATATTTTAAGACCAAAACAGCCCAATCTATGATACGATTCTATAAACTTTGCTGTTTGCACAGAAAGTAGGGAAATGGTCGTCCCAGAGCAGGAAATATGAACAAAGAGCCAGGATCAGAGACCCAAAGAGCAAGTAGAACTTTAACTGCACAAGTCAAGTATTTGGAAGCCCAAAGATACCAGGTCAGCAATAGACCAAAGCATGTATCTAGGTAGTCAGGGGGTGGTGCCAGGTGAATATTTCATTAATTTATTCCACAAATAGTGATTTAACACTTACTACATGCAAGGCACTGTGGTTAATGTCATGTCACAGCGGTAAACAAACCATTAAAGCCACTGCTCCCTGAGCTTGTATTTTAGCCTGACAACTATGTAATTACAGTTGGTCTAAGTCTGTAAGAGGAGTATACAGCATTGAAAGAGTATTTTCCCCGGGGGAATTGAGCATTTGAAGAATCTCAGAAGCTCTCTCTTGGAATAATGTCTAAGTTCCTTACTGGGACTGAAAAGGAACTACTTTACATGGCCTCCCTCTCTTAAGTGACTTCTCTCCTTTGTTCACACTCTGAGATCACTCTGGTTTTCTTTTGATTTCTCTAACACATCATTCTCCTTTGGGCTTAGGAGCTTTGAACATGCTATTCTCTCAGCCTGGAGTCTTTGCCCCACCATCACCACTCTCTTACTTCATCCTTATGCTTGACCTTTCCTTAAGCTTCAGGGGTCTGGGTGAAAGAAGAAAGGTGAGGTAAACGTACAAGAGGGGTCCCCCTAATGAAGGCCTCTAGAGTCCTTTTTTTTTTTTTTTAATATGAATTGACTTCCTGCTCTCAGCAGGCATTGTTTTTTTTTCCCCTAATCATTTATTTATTTATTTTTACATTTCCCCACATACATTTACTTTACATATCAAAAAATTTTTGTTCAAAATCCATAGTTATTGACATTTAATAAACAATTTTCAAAATTTCAAAAAACTGAATTTTAAAGATAATGTTCAAAATATTTGTTATAATTTTGTTTGTGACTCTGTAACAGGGATAGTATGGTTTTAAATATTTTTTGAGAAAATATTTACATGTCACCTGCTCAAACTGTTGAAAAGCAAACACCCAGCACATAAGTCACACATAAACCTTCTCAATTCAACCCTGCCTACCAAGTATTCTGTGACATACCATCTGCTAGCAAAGATCGGTCTCTTTTTCTTCTCTCAAAGTCTTCCTCAAAATGATCCTCTGGTTGTGGCTGCTCTTTTGCAATCTCTACTGATTACAGAGCTGGGCTGGAAAGTCCAGGTTATTTTATGGTATGAATTCTTTCATATAGCTTCTCTAATCCTCTCTGTCAGGCAGAACTGTTTATGGTGCCAGGTCATGTTTCCAAGAGCTTTTGTTGGCTTGAGATCTACCTCAGTTCCATAGTTTTCTGGTTAAATCTTCAGATATGACATTCCAATCAAAGCCCTGTCCAATAACGAGTATTTCCAATTTCTGATTCAAGGTAACAGGTATTATTAAACTTACGCAAATAATCATTCTGTCACAAAGTAAGAATACTCACAAATATTTTCCAGTTCTAGAGGTGTCAAGAAGGGAGAAAAGTTTATGTTTCCACTTAAAGAAACAAAACCAACAAGAAGAAAAAACATTTTAACAAATAGCTAAACCTATCAACAGCTCAAAAGAAAGCAAAATCCTTAAATTGGAAAACAAAGCATAGTAAAGAAAAAGACAGTTTTACTCAAAAGTCAGAAAATTCTATTTCACCAGTTCAGTCTTATGTAATTAACCTTTCTTCTGTTGAATTTGCAGTTTTATTCTGGTCTGATCTTTCCGTTTAAATCCTGGAAGTTAACATTCAACATTATTATTGATATTTTGTGTCCCTAGCATTAAGTTGGTTATTTTCTTGGTTGCTTTTAGTTCTCTTATTTCTGTATATGTGTCTTTGGTTTTCCTGGTTAAGCATTATTTTCAGAATTTCTTGAAGAACTGGTCTGGTGTTCATAAATTCTTTCAGGTTTTGTTTATCTGAGAACGTTTTTTATCTTTTCTTCTCATATGAAGGATAATCTTGCCGGGTACAGTATTCTTGGTTGAAACTGCTTTTCACTTAACACTTTCAATATATTTTCCCATTCTTTTCTTGCTCGCATTGTTCCTGGTGAGAGGTCTGAAGTTTGCCTGAAGGGATAACCTTTATAAGTAACTTGATATTTCTCTCCTGCCAATTTTAGTTCTTGTCTTTGTCCTGGATTTGGCCAGTCTGACTATGATGTGCCTTAGAGAAGATCTTCTTGGCTTGACTCTATTAGGAGTTCCTTTGTATTTCTTGAGTCTGGATATTTGAATGCCTCTCTAGATTTAGAAAGTTTTCTTTCAGGATTTCATGGAATAGATTACCCATCTCTAACAGTTCCATTTGATTCATTTTTATGGTGTGTTTCCTTATTAGTTTCTTCAACTTCTGGTATAGTGATTATCCAGATTTGGGGCGCTTAATGGTATCTAGTATTTCTCATATAGAATTCTCATTTTTTCGGGTTATTTTCTCTAGATTTTTTTTGGTAGTTTTCTCTACGTCAGAGGTTTGGCATGGACTAATCTGCTCTTAGTACTTTCTTTTTTATTTATTTTATTTTAATTTCTTTTATACATTCAGTCACATATGTGCTTTTAAGACTTTTTAAAATTTTTATTTTAATTTCTTTTATACATTCAATCACATGTCACTTAACTTATAAAGTGAATGTTCTAATATGAATATATTACTCATCAATCAGTCCAGTTGGGGATACTACATGCATTATCATCAACAGATAATAACCATTTCTTTGTCCCATGAATGCCTTGCCTCTGAAGGAGGTTTTGATTTGCTGTATTGCAGCCTCCATCTCTAACAGCTCTATTTGATTCTTTTTTATGGTGTGTTTCCTCTTTCAGATGGTGCAAGAACTTCCTCACCTCCGGGAATTCATTGTCTCTTTTCTTCTGCATCTTCTGGAGTTCATTGTCTCTCAGCTCGTACATCTCATTTAGTTTTGTCACTATGAATATCCTGAATTCTCTATCAGACATTTCCATGACTTGCACTGTACTCTCTGTAGATGAAGGATTGTTCTTTTCATTTAGGGGAGAGATGTTTTCTTGGTTTCTCATATTTCTTGTGCCTCTGCGGTAGTTTCTGGTCATTCTGTGACAAAATCTCTCCTCTACTGTGTTTTGCAACATGGAATTCACAGAAAGAGATTATGAGTTCAGATTTATAAAAAGAAGTTTCTTCCTTAAGGCAGGAAGTTCAGTAAGTGTTGAGGATTTAAATGACCCTTGTCTGAGTGTTTTTGGGGTCTAGAAGATGAGATTTAGAGCATAACTTTAGTCATCCGGGTCCCTGAACAT